TTTAAAATGTGGCATCCCTGCCACTGAGTCACTGGGTCACAGGCAACAACCTCATCCAGGAGAATTGTCAGCAGAGGACTCCTGCCTCTGACCCAGGCTCCCACACAGCCTCTCCTTCAGTGACATTCAGCCTACTTCAGACTGAGCCCATAAACAGCCTGTTACCTGGCCCTGCATCTGCTCTATGCCTTCAGGACAACCTCAGCAGTTCGCCTCTTTAACCCTTTCTTGGGGCTGGAGAGATGGCTCAGAGGTTAAGAGCACTGACTGCTCTTCCAGAGGTCCTGAGTTCAATTCCCAGCAACCACATGGTGGCCACAACCATCAGTTATGAGATCTGGTGCCCTCTTCTGATGTGCAGATATACACGGAAGCAGAATGTTGTACACATAATAAATAAATAAATAAATAAAAACCCTTTCTTAACATTTTTGTATATCGTGTGGCATGTGGACCAGTAATTAAAGAGTTGATATTCATAATTAAGATGGGAATAAAGGGGAGGTGAGATGGCTTCATAAATAAAGGCACTTGCGTCAGGCATGGTAGCACACGCCTTTAATCCCAGCACTTGGGAGGCAGAGGCAGGCGGATCTCTGTGAGTTCGAGGCCAGGCTGGTCTACAGAGCCAGTTCCAGGACAGCCTGGGCTACACAGAGAGACCTTGTCTCAATAAACCAAAAGCCAGGACATGCATGTGGAGGCCAGAGGACAACTTGTCGGGTTCTCTCCTTCCACTATGTGTGTCCCATGAAGTGAGTTCAGGTTGTCAGCCTTGGTGGCAAATGCCTTTTCTGGCTCTTCCTTCCTTCCACCACTACACAAAATTAAGTTTTTCAAAAAGATTAGAATAAAAGAACCTATGGATATGAGGTTTTAATGCCAGCACTCAAAAGGCAGAGGCAGACAGATCTCTGAGTTCGAAGCCAACCTGGTCTACAAATCGAGTTCTAGGATAGCCAGGACTACACAGAGAAACCCTGTCTCGAAAAAACAAAAAAGAAAGAAAAAAAAAAACTTGACTGCCAACAGCCAGTTATCAAATGAAACTGGATTATCAGACAATCAAACTGATGCAGCTTATGAGTTTACTGTTACTCATATTAATTCTGACATTATGGAGAAGTGCAAAGAAGCCCATCTATTTCTGACATAGCACACAATAATCAGTAAGAGGCCGGGACGTAGAGACCCCACTTTCCTGCACCTACCCTCACTGGGCAGCTCCCCAAGAGCAAAGGCTCTGACCCTGAAGTAGGCAGCCTCCCAGCCTACCTCCTCCCCTTTCTCCTTACAGGCCTCCACTTGGCACAACTGTCAGTTCCTGAACTTGTAATGGCCATGACATCAAAACACAAAGGAGCTGGGCCTGGAGAGACGGCTCAGTGGATAAGAGCCCTGGCTGCTGCTCTTCCAGAGGACCCATGTGGACGCTTCCATTCCCAGCATCCACATGGTGGCTCACAATGCTTCGTAATTCCAATCTGATGCCTTCTGCTTTCCACAGACACTGCACACACATAGTACACAGACAAATGAAGATAAATAAACAAATATTCCTGAATGAAGAAACACTTTCCTTCAGATTTTTCACTTCTGGGAGAGAGCGCCTGCCCTTTTATATATGTTTAGACTAATGTAACATAGTTAACTAATCTCTACCCAGCATCCATTTTTCCTGTCTTTTTTTCTTTAGCACCATAATCCTAACATAACACCATCATACAAGCACTTCCTTATAGATGATTGTGTCCAATAGCCAGCAGCTGTCAGGGGGAGCCCAGAGAAGCACCTAGAAGGGAAGGTGTAAGCAGCTGACAAATGCCCTCCCTGCCCTTCTTCCTCCTGCTTCTTGCCTGGGAAGCAGTCTAGGTAGCAAGAGCCCTTTGGAGCCACAAAGCAACCCTGGGGATGGATGTCACATGCTAAGAATGGAGAAACAAATCAGAAAAAAAAAAAAAAGCTTGGATTTCCAAAGACAACCCAGTCCAGACTTCTTTCACGTGAGGAGCTTCTCCCCATTATACACCTACCCACTGTACGTGCACATATATACGTGTGTGTGTGTGTGTGTGTGTGTGTGTGTGTGTGTGTGTGTGTGTGTGTGTGTGCAGTAGCCTCTAAAGAGCTTTCCAAAGAAAGGGCAGAAGGAAGTGCCATGCCTCAAAGACCTTGGGGCTTCTGCAGAGTGACAAGTGAGTGCTCTCCCAGCACCCAGTCAAAGCTTGGGCTGTCCCAGAAACTCCCTGAAGGAAGTGGACCCTGCTCATCTGCATCTTGAGCTCTACTCTTGCTCACACCTCTGCCTAGGGTCTGGGAGAGGAAGACTCTGGTCTGAGAGCAACCCAGGAGGCCCTCCTAGGCTGGGATTCCAATATGGAGGCAGAGTGCCTGGCCATAAATGGATGTTCTTGTTGCCATATCAGACAGGTGCCAAATCAAATGCCTATGTGTAAATAGAAGAAGGCGTCAGTTAGGAAAAGCCATGCAGTGAGGTCTAATGTGAAGGCTCCATGCCAGTTCCTGTATTCTCAGAGAGCTGCCTGGTGAGAGTAGTCTGAGGACAGCGGGGTCTCCACATTCTGCTCTTTGACCCCTTATTGTGTGTAACATCAGAAAAGCATGGATACATCTGCGCTAACCATGCTGCAGCCCAGCCTACAGAGGTGTAGCAAATGAGAGGAGGTCATAGGTTAAAAGCCTCACCTGGAAAAAGGGGTGATTCTTGACTTCCTGCGCACCCTGGGGACCCGCGCCCAACCTCTTCTTAGGGTCTTTGCACAGCAGCCGCTGTAGCAGGTCCTGTGCCACAGGCCCAATCCGGAGGGGGAAGGGAGGGGAGCACTTCAAGATCCGTCTGGGAGGATGGGTGGGGGTGTCAGGGGCAGCAAGCCCCCTCCCAGCCCAGCCCAGGCAGGCCGTATAGCCCTCAGCTGCCCTCCATGACCTGAACAACTTACCGAGACACCTCGGCCTGAGTGTTCCTCTCTCCCTCCAATGTGAAGGGCGAGGCCCCTGTCAGCAGCTCGAAGAGCAGGATGCCCAGGCTCCACCAGTCCACAGCCTATGGGGTAAGGCCAGAGTGAAGGCCTTGTGTGCTCAGCCTTACCCTGCCTTCTTCACCCAGATAACCCACCTTGCCGTGTCCAGCCTTGCTTCGGATGATTTCGGGGGCCATGTACTCGATTGTGCCACAGAAGGAGAAGGTCCGCTCTTTCTGAGAAGCAGAGAGGACCCATTGGGATACCTTAACCTCTCCCATGCCCCAAAGCTCCTAAAGGCTTAGAGCAGAGCTTGCTCAACTTTTGTACCCATCCACTCTGCAGCCCCCAGGGTGCTGATACAGAGGAAGAAGCAGGACAAAGGCCTGGCTGGGAGCACCATGGGCCAAGTCCTCCATCCACTCACCTCCTCCGTCAGAAACTCCTTGCTCAGCCCAAAGTCTGTGAGGACAATGTGACCTTCCGAGTCAAGCAAGACATTCTCTAGCTTCAGGTCACGGTAGATGATACCCAGCTGGCAGAAGGAAAAAAGACATTGAGTGTTTCCCTGATACACCCTACACAGCCTCAGCCCTGCAGGTCCCCACTTGGGATAAAGAGGCATCTTGAAGCTCTTTAGCCTGCAGGGTTATCTCCAGGGCAGGACTAAGCATAGGCAAGCTAGCAATTAGAAAAGTCACTGGAAGCTGGGTGTTAGTGGCGCACGCCTTTAATCCCAGCACTCGGGAGGCAGAGGCAGGCAGATCTCTGTGAGTACAAAGCCAGCCTGGTCTCTAGAGCGAGTGCCAGGATAGGCTCCAAAGCTACACAGAGAAACCCTGTCTCGAAAAACCAAAAAAGAAAAGAAAAGATAGAAGGAAGGAAGGAAGGAAGGAAGGAAGGAAGGAAGAAAGGAAGAAAAGTCACTGGACCCAGCCATGTAAGTAAGCTCACAGCTGTCATCCTAGTACATGGGAGGCTATGGCAGGAGGCCAGCCTAGGCTAGCCAGCAATTACCAGGAGAGTCTGGCTGCAGAGTGAGACTCTGTCTAAAACAATACAAAACCAACCAAAAAAGAAAAAAGAAGAAAGGGCTGGGGCTGGCAGTGATCCATTAGTGGAGTGCTTGCCTAGCATGAGGCCCTGGGTTGGATCCCCAACAGCACACAAAACTGAGCCTTACAGCATTACATGCCTGTAATCTCAGTACTAAAGAGACAGACGCAGCAGGGTCAGATGTCCATAGTCATTCTTGACTACACAGGGAGTTCAAGGCCAGTTTGAGCTACATAAGATGCTGGGGGCAGGGGGTGTTAAACAAGATGGATCAGTAAGTAAAGTGCTTTCGGGGAAAGTCTCTCAACCTGAGTTTGATCCCCAGAACCCATGTAAAGGTGGAAGGAGAGAATTAATGTTACAGAATCTGACCCACATACATGCTGTGACATATATGCACCTACATGAATCACACATACACACAGTTAAAAAAAAATAAGAAAGGAATAGAAAAGGACCGCGGACATTATAAAGCAAAATGGCCCTGTGGCCAAGTTCTCCAGGAGGAGTGGTGTGAACAAAAAGCCCCATTTCAAAGGCCTTAGGGACTGAGGTCTGAGGTCACCACTGGAGGAAGTCCGGTGAAGGTAAGCCTGAGTTCCTGTTAGAGGAAAGCCCCTTCCAGAAGGTTCTGGGGCGGGAGACCCTACCAGGTAGTAGTGTTTCATGCCCAGAGGCCAACACAAGCAATTCTTTCAAGGTTCCCACCCAAGCCATCCCAGAAGCAGGAAGCCCCTCATCAGGCTCAGGGCAGGCCCCCAGAGAGCAGCCAAAAGTTAGGCCTCTCTTACCTTGTGCAGGTGTTCCAGGGCCAGCACAATCTCACCCCCGTACACTCGAACCTCAGCCTCCTTAAAGTACTGGCGCTGGTAGAGGTGAGTGAACATCTCGCCACCGCTCACATAGTCTAGGGGTGCAGGAGAGGTTGAGATGCTCCCCTATAAGGTAGCCTAACCTAACTCCCGTCCCCCTCCAAAGCCAGGATGTGACAGGCCCTCACCCAGGATGAGGTGCAGCTTGGCATCCGTCTGGAAGGCGTAGTGCAGTGTAACCAGGAAGGGCGCCTGGCGCACCAGCTCCAGCACCGAGCGTTCGGTGCGGGTGTGCTCCTGCGTCTTGGCGCGCTGCACCAACGCTGCCTTGCGTAGCACCTTCATGGCATACAGCTTGCCCGCATCGTGCCCACCCGCCTTCCGAACCAGGAACACCTTCCCGTAGGCTGTGGGAGCAGCAAGCAAGCGGATGGAAAGTGGGCTGTAACTGCGAGGGCGGTGCAGACTAGTGGGAAGAGGTGTGCAGGGGTGCAAAAGGCTGACAGAGCCTTCTAAGGAAAAGGTGAGCAACTCCCTAGAGGGTGCTCAGCTAAGCCTAAGAAGCAATGTGCAGTGCAAACTAGCCTGGGGAGCTTACAGTAACTCCAGAAGGCCTGCGGGGCGGGGAGGGGGCGGGGCACGTGCAAACCTGGGGTGATCAGAGAGCTGAGAAAGGATGAAAACGCTGGCACCAGAGGCAGAGGCGCACTCCCAGACAGGGGAGGGATGTGCAAACCCGGACTGGAGGATTTGCAAAATACAAGAATGGGGCTCGCAAAGGGAAAGGGGGAGAAGCTATGCAAAGCTCTTGGGAGGGAGTCAAACCCGCAAAGAGACTAGGAAATTGCAGCAGGGGGGCATGCACGCACAGGACTTTGCAGAGAGGAGTGATGTCAACGTGGACGCCCTGCAAGTGGGCATGGAACCCTGGTA